AATTATATACATAATTTAAATAGTTTTGAATACCAAAAAAAGACTTCCATGTTTGGGGGGGGGGTTCCCCCTCATATATTTGCCATCTAGGCCCAGCTGATAAAACCTCCCATCCCCGATCCTGCACTCTCTCTTCTGTGCACAAACAGAATGCAGCAATTAAAGCTGAAGATGCTGAGGTGGGAGGAGGCTGTGCAATCACAGCATGCGGGTCCAGACCCCAAGTCTTCATGTGAACTGTTACATTGAGCAGTTACATGAACAAGAAACAAATTTTATATACTCACTCCTAACTTGTTTAGGGTTCAAAAGACCAGGTTTTTATGTACAGGTCAGCAGTACATAAAAATGGATGACCATATCAGATCACAAATGGAGGTTGATTATCTCATTGCATTACCTAACTACCAAACCATGAGCATCAGGCATTTGTTCTGCCATATTTATGTCATTAATGGGCAAAACAGCTGGACATTCATTTCTCATTACTGTGCATGGGAAATGTTTGGTAGTCACTAAGTGCCAAGGTGTGATTTGGGGACTGTCATTACAGCGGCAAGCCTATCAACATCTTTCAGAGAACACAGAGGCCCATTCTTAAGTGCTCAGTACTGAACCCCAGTGGACCAGGCATCTGAACAAACCGTTTCGCTACAAGAGCAGACTGAACAGTGTGGAGTATGCCGAGACAGACACCGAGGGCACGTCATTAGGGCCGATTGTTGAAAGTAGTAAGGTTTTTAAAAGAAATCCTGAAAATTGAGCAAGAGATAGGGTAAGCATACCTATTAGGTGTTTTATGACGATCCTGCATATTAAAAACCTAATTATAATTAGAGAGCTTCCCTTGGGACTCATTATAGTTGTTAAACCTGAAAATATTTTCAATATTATACAGTAAGATTTAGAGTTGAACTATTCTAGTGTAACTTCATTCTAGAGTTAGATTCATTGGTAAAGATGGGCACTCAACTACATCCATGGAAAACACCCGGACTGGCCTTGGGAATGGTAAATCTTCCCGGGATGGGCTCTACCGTCCTCTGGGAGATTTTGACAATGCACGATACCGTGTCTTGAAGGAGCTGAGTGCCGAACATTGCTGCTTACAGGGCTAGACACCTGTCCGGTGGATATATGATGCCGGGGAGACATGCACGTTGCAAGAAACACCAACCCTCCACCGCTATGGAATTGATTCGGACTCACAATGACCCTATAGGGCATAGAACTGCACCGGTGGGCTCCTGACCGAGACTTGAAATCTTAACAGTAGATCTGTAGTCAGCAGCCCGAGGCATTACCACCAGGCCACCAGGGCTCCTACAGGGCAGGTAGAATTTCCCCTTTCATTGTTGGGTTTTTGTTTCTTCTTAATGAGCTTTATAGAGCTATCACTCACCCATAGTTCAATCCCATAAGGAAGGGCTGTGCCAGCATCACCACAATCAACTTGGGAGCATTTTCTTCCCTCTTTTGCCCGTGGGTGTTGACTCCCCATTTCCCTGCCCTCCTCATTCATGCCCCCAGGAAATTATTATTTCCGTTACCGTCCTTTAGGCTTTGAGGCTATAAATGTTTATGGGGGCAGAAAGCTTCATCTTTTTCTCACAGAGTTGGTGGTGGATTCGAACTGCTGACCTTGAGGTTAGGAACTCAACCCATTTTCCACAATGTCACCAGGGTTCCTAAAGCAGTGGTAGTGTGCCCGAATTCTCTATATTCAAGAGACTGTTGGATTCCACTACAGCAAGCGGGGGGCAGGTTCTGCCAGCGTGGTGCCCCCAGCTGTATCTACTTCTGCAGCAAGTATCCGTTAGCAAGACTGTGCAGTGGCTCTCGGAAACTTTAGGTCGTGTCCATGAGATGCTGTGAGGTTCTTTCCCATTCTACCACTCTAAGCGAGCCTCTTGCCAAAGACGACAAGGAGCACACTGACCATGTCAAAAGGGAACTTTTTAAAATGCAGACACAAAAAGTAAGATGCAATCAAGTGGTAAAAGAAAGATAGGCAGTGGGAGAAATGCAAATCAGTAAAATAATGATTTCTTTAAAAAGAAAGACTTTAATGTTGATTAAATATAACAGCATGCAGTCTACAAATTGAGAAAACAGCCTAGCATGAACAAATATTAGGACATAGGATAGTTCTGAAAATAACAATTCAGTTGACAGCTGACCACAAGCAAGTGATATGGCAGGTTGGATAGCGCTCATTTATGCCTGCCATGCGATACATTTGGGGGCTTTCATCTAAAATTTCTTACAAGGAATACTTCATTAAGACTAATTTAAATGATAAAGCTAGCAGGAACAGAGGCCTGGTACTGGTGAGTCTCTCTTCTCCACAGGCTGCAGGGCCGGGTCAGACTGGGGATCTTCTGTGGCCCTCGCTGGGTGAGGGAGCCACTGCAGCGGCTTAACCAAATGGGCGGCAGAAAGGAGAGGGCAACGCTGCTGAGTCTATGGGCAGGGTGCTAACATTTAGAGCTCTGGCTACCTTGAGAGAAAATGAGGTAAATACGTATGAAATACGTTAAAACTGGGAAATGGTTGTGGATAATCAAGACTGTCTCATTATTTCAAGTAGCTTCTTAATTTGAATAGCACTGAACATATTTCTATACGGTTCATTTAAAAAGCAAATTTCTGCTTATTCGTGGGCCAGCAGTGCCATTGGGTGTATTTTCTACGCTTCCTTAAACCCTGGCCAGGCTACGTGCAGGCTTCACAGCACAAACCAGGTCGCAAAAAGCACCCGGAACCAAAGGCCATCCAAGACTTGGCGGGGGAGGAAAGAGAAGGGCGGGGAACGCTACTGCTCATGCTCCACAATGAAACCCCAAACAGTGTGGCTTCAGAATCCCGACTCCACCTGCACCTGACACCCTTCTGCAGGGCGGCTTTTGGTCACTTAGGCTGGTTTTCTGGCCGATGAGGTCAGAACACTGGCATTGGCCTTTCAAGGGTCAACCTAGCTTAGGGTGGACTTGACTGACCTTCCTTATGCCTATCAACTCTTACTTTTCCAGGCGCGTCTCTACTAGAAAGACAGGCTCCTTCTGGTCCCAGGACCAGACCGGGCCCCTGGGGAAGCCCTGCTGTGAAGCATCCACCCCCACCCCCACCCCCGGCCTCAGTCGAACAGGCTGTGGCAGGGCAGACTCCAGGATGAGGCTGTGTGGATCATAGCTGTGGCTTTACCACTGATTTCACTCAACAGGTTCTGGCTGTGTGGGCGGCTGAGGGGTGTGAGGGTGAGGGTAATAGAAATTCCTTAATTAGTGAGAGCGGTTGTTAGCAACTCTCCTAAAAGTGACTTTAAAACTAAATGGTCACATACCTTAGTTTAAGCTGGATCCTCTGAAGAACTATCTACTATCTCAAGGACGGCATTTTCTCCCTAGGCACGAAAGGGTTTAAAATAATGTAAGATATCAGGTGGTCTTTCTTCTTGCTTAGTCTCAACTAGGGATTCTCAACCTTTACCACCACTGCTGGCTTACTGCTATATTTATTGTTATCAATGCCTTTCTAGCATGGCTGTAATTTGCATAGCCATGGCCTACAATTAAAATTCTAGGATAGACAAAGTAGTGGGTAATTTTTAAAACCCAGGTTTTAAATTTGCCTCATTTCAGATCTCCAACTGCTCTGCCCACTCCGGCCCCCACCAGCCCAGTGCCCTCACCTGTCCCTCCTTTGGTGCCCTGTCAGTGTCTTGGTCGTGTGGAAGGGAAAGTGGGGAAAAGGGGGCCTAGCCATCTTGTCTCTGAATTGCCGTCCCACAGAAACATTTCTTTCAGCTTTGCCCACAGTCCACCAGGAATGGGCCCGTGTCCTCCAGGTCTCTCTCCTGTGGTCACCTGCTGATCCAAGGGCGCAAGCCTGGGAGGCAGGGCCTTCAGGGTGCTTGGTACTTACTTCTGAACAGGCTGAGAATTCCTGGTATAACCAAAGATGAGGTCCTAAGGCCTTTTAAATTTAGTATTTTAGTCTGAAAGATTTAATTTTACCAAGTTTCCACCACCACCACCACCCCACTGCCCTTGATGGTTAATATTTTGTATGGGGGGGCAACCCATATGACAAGTACATTTTACTGCAACATGCAAATGATCTGAAGAGTTCTCTCCACTTGAGAATTTTAGCAAGTTATGTTTCCACAATTATTTGGCTAGACAATTGAAAGTATTCTGAAAGAAACAAACTATAAAAAACTCACATAAATGAACTGTAAGCTTGTTCCCAGAACAGAAGTGGCCCTTTGCTATCTCGAACAGCACCGTGAATGGAGGCTGTAGCACGTGAGCCACCTCAGTGGCTTCCTCTACTTCCTGTGCAGAGGCTCTAACAGGTCCGCGCTGTGTCACGGGGCGGGGTGGGGCGGGGCGGGAAGCTGCCAGGGCTCGGTAACGTCCCCTGGAACTCAGAGTGAACGTCAAGGGTATAGATATGCTGAGACTCTCTAGGAGGCAGGAGCAAGCTGAAGGTTGGGTCTTCACAAGGAAAAACCAGATACTGATCTGTTATAAATACACAGGAAACACCCATGTGCACGCAAGTGCACTCACACACACTCACTCACACACGGTAGTGGAATGGCTCAATTACCCACCCTGTCCATCAGTCAGGCAGTGGGACGAGAAAGCGACTGTTCCCAGAGTGTGCATGTAACCACAGACTGGCACCCTCTCAGGGTCTGGGTAACCTCTCACGAGCTACAGAAACGGAAAGCGCCCTGCAGCGAGGCGCTAGTTCTCCATGACAGCACGTCGGCCCTTGTGAATTAAGAGCCAGGTGCTCTCAACAAGATCAGTGGAGCAGTTGGAACAGTCAGGGTCCTACGAAATGGACAACTGCTACATGAACTGCAAGCGGTCAGCAAATACCAGAGGGATGACAAAAGCAAGTGAACACACCAAAAATCCACCTTCCTTTACAAATGTTCAACGTTTGAATCACGATTCGTGTGGTGAATAACAATGCACGAGTCAGAATGCCATGCTATATATTTATTGTTGCTAGGTCTTCAGGTACATGTGATAGATACGCCAGCGTTGCTCTCACAGCAGGATAAAGAGCAGGCCACAGTGACACTGGACTGCTCGACTCATTTCACAGGGAGGGCAATACTGCATCTGAAATAATCACTAGTCACACCATTTTATACACTGATCAACAGGAAAATGCTAACACTTGGATGTGTAATGCTAGTAACAGCTTGCCTTTTAAAACATTGTTGAAAGCCTTTGCTAAAGGACGTGCAAAAGAAACAGGAAATGAGACTGTTTGCCACTCGCAACCACCAGGGCAATGACACACGAGCACATCCAAGGAGTGCGATGACCAGACCACCTTAATGTGACCAGGACATAATTTCTTCAGACGACTGAGAAAACGCCAGTAAGCGAGGCACATACAAACGTCAACACTAAGGTTAGAGAGTCATATGTCTACAACCTCACCGTCTAAAATCCTTTCTATCTGTGACCTATTGTCATTAATTCTACATTAACAAGCCAACCTAAAAAGACAAAATATGTCCACTGCATGATAACGGGGCATTTCTAGTCCACATGATACTGAAATGTGTTTATTCTCTTAACTTTGCTAGCAAGAAGAGGGACCTATCAAGTCACGCCTCACATTCTTTTTGCCCTTGCTCTGTTACATTTACTTATTTCCTATAAAAGTTTCCGAGTCTCATGCTTCTGATGCCCCCTTCAAATCAGTTGCTGATTTCAGAGTAGATGCTGTCGATACACTCTGTCCTCATGATTCTTTTACCAACTTCTTCCCGGGATCGTCACAGAGCTCCCACTCAGGCAACATGATCTACGGTGCCCACCGCTGCTCCGGGCCCCTGAGCGAGACGCCATGCTTCCTAACTCTCCCGCTGTTGCTGAGCACGGTTGGGCACACACCTGGGGAGCTGCAGGGCAGAAGCTCACTCATTATGGCTCCACGTGATTGGGGAACTGCCACTCTGACTACTGTTCATTCATTTATCGATGTTTCTCCTTAACCATTTGTTTCACTTTTATAAATTTTTAAAGCGGTTATGCTTTTACTTAAAATTTAAAACCTCTTTGATCAAGTTTGTCTATTACACATAAAACTGGTTTTCAGTTAATCTAAATTCTAACAGAGAGGTTAAAACCCTTAAAAGCAAGCGTTGCTTCTGGTTCATCTGACCCCGTGTCTTCTACAGCAGGCCCTCCGTGCTTGATTCCTGGATGCACCACAAAGGGAATCTCCGGCTTTTTAAAATTCATTAGGTACATTACGCCCTTAAATCTCATCCTGACCTGTCTTTATACCAGATTTCTCATCTCAAACAAAATGCTCTGGGTTACGTGCCCATGGACGGTGTAATCACGGTAGGGAGTTTTCCGGCTTCTGGTTACCAAGACAACGAAGGCTGATGACTCGGACGTTCTCCTGGTGCCCTACAGGGTTCTAGCTTGTTGAAGCCTTCATCGCTGGCTAATGGTTTGCCAAGGAAATGGCCACAGGTGGCGCGCCTCTGGGGTCTCCCCAGGAGGCTGGAGCGAGCCTGGTCCCCCGCTCCTTTGGGACCAGCCCGCTCAGAGGATGCTCTCGCGTTCTTCCCCGAAGCCCGCGCCGTCCGCAGGGGCGACGGCGCGCAGCTCCGCGGAGTCCTTGGAGAGGCGCGTGTAGCTGCAGCGCTGGCTCCGCTTGTGGGCCACGCTCTTCAGGTTTTCATTCTGAATGGCGTTGGGATTGGGGCCGGCAGTCGGCCTCGGCGCGACCTGAGCGGTGTCCGTCTCCTCGAAGCTCTGGTTGGCCCGGTTGGCCGGGGCGCTGTTGTTGTTCAGCGTCACGGTGCTGGGCGTGCGGTTCAGGTTGTAGGCTTTCTGGCACGCGGGCCAGCTTTCCTCCGGGCTGCTGGCTATCAAGCTGCACTCGGACGGGCTCTTCTTGTCCTCGGAGCAAATGGACATCCGCGCGACCAGGGGGTCCGGCAGCCCGCTCAGGCTGTGCGGCACGCCCCGGCGCGCCCCGCCGCCGCGGGGGTCCTCCTCCAGCTCGATGAGGTTGGCCCGCTCCAGCCGGGAGGCGTCGGCCGCCTCGTTGTGCAGCGAGTGGCTCGGGGAGCTCTCGCTGGACCGCACCCCCGAGTCGGAGGAGTCCTTCTTGTCCAGGAGCGCGTCCGACAGATACTCCTTGGCCTTGATGAAGGTTCGGAGGGGCTCCGTGCTGGGCTCTGGGGACCTCGGCCCCCTCTCCGCTTTGCCCTCGGCCTTCTTGTCCTTGTCGTCTCGCAGCAGGGGCGTGTTGTCGGACTCTTCCGTGCCAGACTCATCCTCGTCGCTCGGGAGCTTCTGGTAGCGCAGTCCGCCGCCCTTGAGCTTCAAGTCGGTCTGGAAGAGACTGGACCTCTCCAAGGGCTTCTTGCTCGGCAGGAGTTTCGCGCCGGACTGATCCGATTTCTCATCTTCCTCGGTGATGGGGTCCAGGGGCGAGGCGTCGCTCGTGGACAGTCCTGATGACGAGTAGTCGATGACGTCGCCTCTCTTCATTAAAAACGCCTTCCGCCCATCATCCTGCTTCGGCTCACCCTCCTTCCCTTTGTCCGGCTCCAGGCTGGAGTGCAGGGAGCCCCCCGAGGAGCTCTGGCCCATGTAGTATGTGCTGTGTGGGGAGGACCGACCACTGATGGCCGTGGAGCCCGGCCCCCCTTCTAACTGCGACATCTGGGCAATATACTCCCTATAGGCGTCTCTGTACTCAGCCTGCACCTTGTCCGTCAGCTTTGAGATTTCAATACTGGAGTCCTGGGAGTTGAGACTTGAGAGACTCGGCGTTCTGCGAGTTTGTGACTGTGAAGACAAAGAAATGAAGCGTTCAAGTAAGCAAAAAGACATGAGTAATATGTGCACTACGAAGAAAGAGGCCCTCACACTATCACGTACTTCTGGCAAATATTTCTATTGTTAGAAGACGCGTCTGGAGAGACTGGAAAAAGTAATTTATCCAATTTTAAAATATAATTAAACACTAACAATCTCCATACTTGTGTTCTTACACATAATTTCAAACTTACTGAAAGCAAAAGGCACTCCAATGCTTACACATCAAAGTCTCTGGGGACAGACAAAGCGGGAGAGAGACAGGAGCGCCACCTCTCACAGCCTTTTCTCAGAAAGCTCCTGTGACATTTCAATTCAGGAGAAGACAAGGCGGTCAAAGAACTACATTTAAAACCAGTCTTCAGTCATAGAGTGTAGTAAAGAAGAGACATAAAGGATCCAAATAAGCAGAAATGGAAGTCATGCAGCCGAGCAGGTGGGTCTCAGTAAAGAGAGAAATGAAATGTCTTTCAAAGTGAGTTTTAGGGTTAGAATGGCTTTAGATCCAGAAAAGGGGCAGAAAGCACACCTTTCAGGAAAGGAGGGAGGAGGAAGGGAGAGTCAGGCGAAGGTAAGGCAGACACCTGACCACGTCGGGCACAGGGAGCTGCATTCCTTCCTCCTCCAGAGGGTCTACCCGCCCCCCCCAAAGGGTGTCCCCCACCAGAGGGTCTCCCGCAGCCTCACTGAACGCAGCCACCACTCCGACACGTAGGTAGCGTTCCAAAATACAGTGTGTGCCCCCAGCCAGCATCCACCAGGGGCACAGCACCCTTCAAGAATCCTGAGGTGGCACTCTTACCTGGCAGGGAGAGACCATGATCAAGAATACTGAGCTGGTATAGGCTTTTTCCACTCTCTCTTATAGGAACGTCCAAGAGGCTACATGATGTGTGAGCTCACAATCAACTGAAGGCCGAGCAGATAGGGAAGCCTGGTTTTCTATTTTTGAGTCGGGCTTATCTAGATTTTTGACATAATACCTTTCTCACCAGATTTAGGTTGTTTCTTAGAAAACAGTTATTTTTTCATAAAATGCTATTCCTGCTAACATGTAATCGGCTTATTGTTAAACAGATAAAAATGTTAAGACTTTTCTCTATTTTACTAATGTAGTACATAATTATAGCTGTAACTCATAGACACAGAGCTTTCGGGGTGGTGAGGGATTTGTAACAGTGTGAAGGTATCCGGAGGTTGCATGGTCTTCCCTTGCGAAGGCTCGGACTCTCCGTCAGGGAGCGTAAGACAGCAGGATGGCGACGCCTGGGACATGTGAGAGGGCTCTCGGACAGAAAGGAGCTACCGGGCGGGACAGGGGCACAGGAAACAAGGACGAGCTTGTCTTACTTTAAAATGTGAGTAATCAATGCACGATCAATAGTCCCCCAATTTAAGGGTATTGAGTAGAATGTACGGATCAAATGATACATGCTCTGCCCACTCAATTATAATTATCAATCAAATCCACCAGAAAAGCTCCGACTCAGACGCTGCTCCTGCCAAGTCCTGCCCCCGGGTTAGAACTCTGCGATTCACGCTTCCCACGTCCGCGGGACTTTGGGCTCGCTGCCTGTCTGCTGCCTGTGCACACACCCCCCCTCCAGGCTTCTCTGGCTGCTGCTGGTCCCCCACCCCGCCCCGCCCACTGCTGGGGTCTGTCCAGAGAACAGCTCACCCCTATGTGCTCTCGACCTGGTCAGTGTCCACCATGTGCCGTCTTCGTCAGCGATTTGTGACTGAACAGACAGGAGTGAGTGAAGACCTGGGCTGTCCCACCTGTGACTAACACGGCCGGGCCCCCAGACACCATCGCCCTCGTTTCCCCTCTTCAGCGTCCTGGCCGTTCCTCCTGATTGCAATGACGGCCTCGCTGGCGGACAATGTCTGGGCAGCCCAGCGTCTGCTTCCCTGAGAAACTCGTTGACACTTTCTGAAAAACTGTCCAAACGCATCAACACTTCTCAGTGAATTTAAACAAGGCCCTTATTCCCCAGTACTGTGAAAAACGCGCTAATAAGTACCTGCCAGCTTAGGTTACTGTGTCGGGGGGCACCTTCGTCCAGGCCCAGTGTGTTCAGCTCCTCAAAGCTGAAGTTGAGTGTGTAGGGCGTCTGGTTGGCAAGCTCGGTGTGGGGCAGTTCGCCGTGGGCAGCACGACGAGTGGGTTCCCCAGGAGGCACCTGGCCGCCGCTGCTCTCACTCAGTAAACGGGGATCTTCAGGGATGACCTGGCTCTCTGCATTTCTCATTTCCAGGATCTAGCAACAGGTAAAATAGCCAAATCAGTTTTGGAATCTTTTGACAATAGATTAAAAAGAGACAAGCTGGCCAGGGGGCAGTATGGCACTGAGGAAACACACAACACTCCTCTAGTTCTTCAATGCTTCCCCACCCCCCACCC